TAGTTGCTTGGATAGAACTAACTTGTTAGTCCATTTCAGATACTAGAATAAATTTCTTATACTATGAAATGTGAAAGAGATGTTTATTAGGATGGTTTGACAATATTCTCATGAGAGTTTCCAATTGAACATTTTTGTTTCAGTTCAATAAGAGGGCACCATGGCTTTATGATCCAGGTAGCCTTCCAATTGAACATCTGAAACTCTTTATATTACACACGAGTATTTTTGAATTTTGTTTATCTTGACAACTGACTTCTTGTTGTAAATTTGCTTGAACTCATATTATACTTTTATTCTATCCATATCAACTCTATACTCCACCATATAGGAGTCTCCTAACATATAGTTTTAAATTTTTAGGTGCCAATTTGTTATTGCTATAGACGTTGACCCTCGAAAAGTTGTAATGGCTTTCAATAATGCAAGTATATATGGAGTGGAAGATTATATTGATTTTATTATTGGTGACTTTTTCCAACTTGCTCCTTACTTGAAGGTACTTTCTTCTGTTTTCATTACTGCTGCCAATTTTGGATAATGTTTATGTTAGGGTTGAACTTAACTAATTAAGTGGTTTTATTTATTTATTTTTATTTATTTTTATTTGATGTTTATAGACACATTCCCAATAATAGGCTTTGCAGAGTTTTGATGAGATGAAACTTAAGAAGTTTTGCATCTGCAATACTTAAGTTAAAGTATTTGAGTAGCATTTTGATTTTTCTTTTTTAAATTCCTTTTTACCATAGGGACTGGGTTATATTTTCTTTTTCCTTGCAGAATTTTAATGTGTAAGGTGACTAGGACCTTCTGACTGATCTTAAGTAGTTCCAATCCTAATTCAACTTTCTTTTCTGTTTTTAGGGGGATGTAGTATTTGTTTCACCACCGTGGGGGGGTCCATCATATAAAACAATCCAGAGTTTCACCATGGATTTGCTGAAGCCAAAAGATGGGTATGTGTGCATTTGTGTGATTGTTTGCTGGGTTTTTTTCTGTTCTGTTCAAATTTGAGAGACTTGTTTAACTTTTATTTCCTGCTGCCTGCATGTTATCACTTTTTAATGCAATGGTTTAAAGAGAAGGCATCAAGTGATTTCAAAGTTTGCAGACTCAATAATCTTGTAAACATTACCATTAGATTCTGAACGACTGATATCCAGTCTAATTATGCTTAGTTAAAATTTTTAACCACAATTTGTTCATCCAAGCTTCAATAATTTTGAACTTCCTCTTTAAGTTTTCAAAACCTTATGATTTTCATAACATAGAAATAAGCTAAGCCAGACAACTTCTTGGTATTGTTATTGATGAGTTATTATTTTTTGTTTCTTAAAATTTAAAGTAATCCTTAAAACATAAGCAAAGATGCATATATGTATAATATTTCATGCTGAGTCTCTTTGGCAGACTAAAATATCACTTGGATTGGAATTGAGTAGGATAAACCTTTTGTGATGTGTCTTTGTTTATGTTATGCTTGTTATTTACTTGATGCTTGTAACATGCCCATTTCATTTTGAACTTTGAGTCGCTCTGTTGTATGTCTGATTGCAAGATATCCTGTAGATACTCAATATTTCAAGCTGCTCAGAGGATAACGCCGAATATCATTATGTTTTTGCCTCGGAATGTGAACCTAAATCAACTTGAGGAACTTTCATGGTTGTCTTCTCCTCCTTTGATGCTTGAGGTATGTCATCTTGGTTCTCCATATCATGCATGGCTGAAGATAGGCCTCTTCTTGTCTTATGATGCTTGTTTTGAGCGTGTAGATAGAAGAAAACTTCTTGGAAGGCTATTTCAAGGGAATAACTGTCTACTTTGGCGCTTCTGCACACAGGTGAGTCTTATTACCTGGGTTTTCAGTGCTATAATTACCTTGTTATCTTACAATATGGTTTTTCAGCTATACGGAAGTTAAGGGTATTTCATGCTAGCCTGATGATTGTTTGTTAATGCTGAAGGCGTGAATAACTATTTTTTCCTTTAAAAAATTTCTACTCATACTTTCAAAAGATAAATGAAGCAAGGAAATATGCTCAATGCTTGACTGACTGCAAATTTGCTGCTAAGATAAATTTGTCTTGAGTGGTGAAAGTTTCAGGATGGTTGAACTGGAATTAGGAAATGACTTTGTGCTAGCTTTTTAGGAATATGATTAAATAATTCATGCTCATATAGCACCAAATCTAAGGGATATGTGTCATTTATCATGTGTTGGGACTTGATTTAACCCTGTCAAGTTTTCGTAAGGCAAAATGAATTTAAATCTGAAAAGGAAATGGTTCAATAATACTTTAGCCTGTCATTATATCAAAACATTGTAACCAAGTTGTGCAAACTTTATTTGAACTTTGAACTACAAAGTGACAAAAATAAAAATTAAATGAACTAAAAATTTTCAGACACAAAAAAGAAAGAACTTATTACACCCCCCTACATGGAACAAATGCATTTTAGGATAAGTCAGTTAAGTCCCCATGATTCACTGAAAATTCATGACTCCATGTCTAATGACAAAGCAACTCCAGAGTCCAAACCTGAACCTGTTGAAGTCGAGGCGCCATCCCAAAGATTGGTTACTTCAATTTTGACATACCTAACCTCATCATGATTTTGTTGACCATTTGAATAGTTTTTGTGAACGATGAATCTGTTCCAACTCCGAAGCAACTTCTATCATCTTTGGCCACTTTCTACCACTCAAGGTCAAGCATCAATATGCAAGTTTAGCAACCTATGTTGTCTCTTCACATGCAGAACTCTCCCGTAATTCAGCATCAAGAATAGTAAAGAGACTATTCTCATCCATGGAAAGAATGAAATGAGAGGCCAAACTTCTTGTTTCCTCTTCCTCTGCTCTTGCTAAAGAAATTGGGTTTTCTCCGTTAAGAGCTCAAAAAGGATGACTCCAAAGCTGTAAACATCACTTTTTTCTGTAAATTGACTTGACTGGAAATATTTGGGGTCTAGGCACCCAAATGTGCCCTTCACATTTGTGGTCAAATGAGTTTGATCAATGGCAATTGATCTCGATGTCCCAAAGTCTGCAACTTTTGCCTTATACTTTCCATCCATTAGAATATTTGAGGACTTAACATCTCTATGATAAATGGGAATGGAGGCTGCTGAGTGCAAGCAGTAAGGTGCACCTGCAACTTCTGCTGTAATTGTTACTCGTCTTTCCCAAGTTAATGGGAAGGCCTCATTTTGATCATGTACATACTGGAAAAGTGTTCCATTGGGGATGAATTCATAAACTTGCAGAGGAACTTCAGTCTCCAAACAACAGCCTAATAACTCAACAATGTTTTTGTGATTAATGTGTAAGAATGACCACCTCATTGATGAACTCTTTAACTCTCTTTGTCCAATTCTCTGGACTTCTTAACTGCAACAATTCTTCCATCAACCAACATTCCTTTATAAACGGTGCCCTGGCCTCCTTGACCTAGTATTCTATTCCTGTTGAATTTGTTAGTAGCTCTCTCCAATTGCTCTGTACTAAATATTTTGGTCTTTTCAATATTACCCTCAGTTGAAGACATTGTTGCTGCAATAATAAACCTCCATTTTGTTTGAAGAACTACGTTTGAAGCTTCTTTTTCATTTTCTTCTTTAAAAGTTTGTACGACTGCCTTGTACCAATAGGTAAACATGCTAGTCCAAATGCTAGGCTAATACCTGCACATATCAAGAGAGAAACAGATGATTTTAGCAACATACACACACACACACACACACACACACACACACACATATCAAAACTTGATAATATAGAAGTCCAGTTTCATGTCTAGAAATATCCAAATGAAATGAAATAAAATTAATGTGTGTCCACAGGATTGTGCATGGTCTTTAAGAAAGATCCTTTGGTTAAAAAGATGATGAGAGATGGTGTTAGTATTGAAGTTGGGGATGGTAGACAAGCCTCCCTTTTTTATGATTGTTGGCTATCAGGAGATAGAATTCGTCATAGGCTATAAAATATGGCTGAGATCACCAACTGTGGGCATGAAACAAAAGTTCCGGGTGGGGACAATCTGGATGGCAGATACCAACTAGTTTTGGAAAGAGATATTCCGGTATGGTGGCTGAGATTAAAAGATTGACTTTGTCTGAGGGAGCAGATAAAGTTTTGTGTTGTGGCAGTCAGGGGGCTTCTCAATCAATAAAAGCTACTAATTGTCAATTGATGACATTCCAGCCAGGTTCATAGGGTTCCTTGGTTTAGGTTGGTGTAGCATTCTGGTGGGATTTTGAGGCACCCGTTTATAATCTTATAGATGCTAGTGGAAGGTCTGTTGAAGACACAGGATAGGTACTGAATTGTAGAGGTATTAGTTTGAGTTTAAATTGCTTGTTGTGTGATTTCGCCGAGGTATCATTCAAGTATCTCTTTTGGAATGTCCTTCTAATCCATGATATATCTCTAACTTTAAAATCACTCTTTTTGTAAGTCGTCAATAATAGTAATCATGTGTAGTATATATGTGCGTGAATAATGTATATGAAAGTCCTCCATCAACTATATGTATTACGTTAAGTATGTTTAAATTTGTATTATCTTTGTGCTTCAATGACCTACATGACCTAAAGATAATCAATTTTTAGTGGGTTCGTGTCTTAACCATGTAGGTTGAGTGGATAAAAATGCAATGTGAGAAGGTTACTTTTATTATGTAGCTTAAAAAATTTTTTTTAAAAAAAGGTACAAACTCTATTCAGTGGATTGGAAATTGAGGATGAACTCTTAATACCCGAATAAGTACAAAAAAAAAAAAAAGATTTGTGTTCTAAAAATAAATAGAAAAAAGAGAAAATTAAGATGTCTTAACATTAAAAATGTTAGAATGTTTAGTCACAATTATTAAATGTATAAAATATAATATAAGCTTTAAATTTA